GAGTTGCCAAGAATTAACTTATAATCCGAGTGGTGTGACTAAAAATGTAATTAAAGTTGTATGATACATTCTCAAACAAAATTACCATTGATAAGGATGCACTAATACATTCTCAACAAAATTATTATAAACGAAGAGTAATATAATACTTGTTTAGATATCTCAAAACTTAAGACCACTCAAAAGTTTTTTCTCTTGTGAAAAGTACATTGATAATCGTCAAAACCTTAGAGCAAAGAATCTCCTCGGCCTAACATGAAGAACTGAGAAAGAGTTAATGATAGAACTAACTGATGACAAGTTTATACACACAATATTATCTCCTCTTATCAACAAGGCGCAAGAAGATAGCAGACCGTGTTCTCCTTGCAGAAAGAACAGATTGCGACGGAGAGAAATCCGTAACCTGCAAAGAACTAAGAGCAAGTACTGAGAAACGATAAGCGCAAAAGCTGAGAAAACATATAGATTCGTAAGAAAATGTACTCATGTAACTATGGCACAAACCGTAAATCAGGAGTTCAATAGCACATATCTTTACCGAAGAGACAAGTTCTTGCTCAAACAATCTACAGTCTTAACCGCTCCTCTAGTAGTGCACAAAATCACAATCATCGCCCTTGAGGCAAATTTTGAGTCCCTGATGATGGAACTGACAAATCCTGTTTAGGTTGGTATGAGTACGACGAACTTGAGGCAGTCTCCTCAGAAACTCTTTCTCAGCTTCATTCGAGTCTACTGTTGGTTTTCCTCCCTTCCTGATCCGCCCAGCTCTTGGCAAGCAGATTTCTCATGGGACCACATCAATCCTGAAGCCATCATCATGCCAGTTTATCTCAGGGTACATATAAAGAAAAAAGGTAACCTAACAATTTGAAAGTGACCAACATATTATATTGAAAACATAAATTCACTCTTTCTCTTGGAAGTTGTAGACCTCTGATATTTGTCTTGCTTATTAGGCTCTTCATCTCTCAATTAGATACCCATAATAGACATAATTACGTTCTTGAGGTAACATTACATATTGGGCCTTAAACAATTAATAAGACAGACCACTAACCTTCTTTTCTCTTGAGAGGACTTGGATGCTCACTCTCCTGCCTGTTAGGTGCAATAGGGGATCTCAATCGCATAACTCATTGAGATAGCAAATTATGAGGCAGTCTCATAATTTCCATGAAACTAATATTTGAGATAATGATTTAGAAGATAAAAGACCCAAAAGTTATGCGCGAATTATGAGGCAGTCTCATATGAATCCATATATCTCTGCAGAAAAAGAATCTAACAAAACTCATATGACAAACAAAACACTTCAAACCTCAACAACTTCAAACTTCAAGAGATTTGACAAACAAAGAATCCATATATCTCTGCAG